TCTACATGCGGAAATCAAAAAGTTGTAACTTCCAGATTACACGGATTTTTACAGGCTCCGGAGCCTTGTCTCATTGAGGACGTGACAAAACCACTAATAAATCCTTTGGAGGTCCCTCACTCATATTGACAGTAGGTCTCGGCAACATTGCAGTGATCGCCTCTCGCGTCGGGTATCTATGAAGAACGAATGACCTGCTCGAGGACTCGCTCTACTCCCCCTCCAGTCTTCTCTAGACTTTTTTTACAGCTCTCACGCTCCCATCAACTAACAGGTGATCTCAGGATAACGCTGTTATCACCTCTTAATTTCAGGTTGAAGTGCGTACTTCCAAAGAACTTTTGATGACACCGGTTGTTGTAGCTCGAAATAAGCAAGAACGAGTTCTCATAGAACCTTCTATAAACTCTGTAAGGTGTGTAGTTTTCGATTCCTTCTATTTCATGTTTAATGTTAATATTAATGTTTTTCTCGTTGATACTCGTAAACTTCTCGTTCTGATAGTTTTAGAGCGCGCGCATATTTTGCGTCAGAGTTTTTAGCGTCTGTCGGCGTTTAGAACGTCTCGCTTATTTTGAGCGACTTGGAAACTATAGGTATCGGCCCAGCGTTTCGAGCGTCCATCAGCACATGAGCGTTCGCCAGCGTTTTCAGTGATAATCAGTATCTTCACCTTCTCAGCTGCTCAACACGCTGGTGTACGCTCAAAACACTGGATCGATAACTATATTTTTCTATTCGCTCGAAACGCCGGCAAACGCTCGAATCGCGCAAAGTATGAACGCCTTCTTACTTGCTCATCTGATGCAATGGTCGTTTCTTGAATATTTTGATTTCGTTCGGATTTTCAGAAGGGTTCCTATTACCTTCACTTTCTTTTACCTTCGAATTTTATGCAGATTAAGAACCCGCTTGTCTTTTGAAACTAATTTGGTAAAAATATGCGTTCCATTAACTCATTTTCTTTAAGAGTGTCAATTTCGATAAAGCAATCGGATGAAATCGAACGTATACTTTGTCATAAATTTACGCGATTTATGTGTCAGCGAGCCGACAGCTTCTTCGTTCTGAGACGTAAACCTCTACCCGTTGGTGAGCTCATAAGTTTCTTTTGCTTACCGTCTTTAATCGTTTCTCAGTAATTTCTTGTTTAGGATATGACATCTCATTTCTTAATCACAGCATCCCATACGGAAACTATGTACAAACATAAGCTAGTGGATTTCCTACTTCATTTCATGCAAGAAATCGATAAGGTTTGTTTATGATGTCTACTGTGATAGTTGAGTAACTAGCGAAAACCGGTTCCTTTACTTGGCATTCTTGATTGGGGGGGGGCCCCCCCATTCTGATAATTGGAGGGAGAGTGAGCTAGAGGAACTGGATGACTAATGCAAAAGGCTATAATAAATGAGATAATATCTTCTGCGAGAGTTTATTGTGGGCAGTTTACTACGCAGGGGGGGGCGGGGGGTGGCAAAAAAACTTTTCTTCCTTGACTTTCGAGGCGCTATAAGTTACACTTTATTAAATTCTTATCGGACATTTCTACCACCATATTAAAGAGCATATTAAATACTATCACGATACTCCGCCACAGCCTTCTGGAGGAGCGCCATCGAGAGATTCTGCCACGCGACCGTGGGTGCCTGAGTTCAGCGAGATCGTTGATTTCTCCGCCACTGTAGACCACCCTATTGAACTCCGCCCGAACCAGGTAATTGAGGGGGTTTAGGTCAGGTGACCTGCTTAGATATTCCACCTTCTTCAGGTACTCAACGCCCTTCCATTCCAAGTAGGCAAGAGTTTTCCCAACGCCCTTTGATTCCATGTGGTGTCACCCAATCCTGTAGCAGTACAAAGTTTCCAAGAAGGGGCGACGACATGTGGAGAGGATATTCTTCTCGAGTTGCTCGATGTAACCGCCAGCTCACCTTCAGTCCGGGGCCCACGAAGAAAATATCGGTCTCTCCATTCCAGGTACGTCCGGTCCCCACCATCAACTGGCGCCTTGGCGACTGAGGTGAAGATGATGTCCTAGACCGTAGCGACGTTGACGGAGCTGCTCGATGATGGAGGTCAGATCGAGAGTACTGGTCTCCAGGTAGCTATCCATGGGTGACTCCATACTAGAAGTTTCGCAGCTGTTTGGAGGTGACATGAAAAGGTCTTCTCCAGTCAGGCTGCGACTGGAGATGACTTCATATTTTGGTGTACATGAAGGTGATGGGCGAGAGCCAGCTCCTGCTTATCGAGGAACATCTTGGGTATCTTCCGCCCTGGTACTCGTATCCACGTCCTCTGTCTGGGCTGCGAAAACTTTGCTGATATGTGACTCGATGTCTTTTTTTTGCCCCCCCCCCTGTACACTTTGTTTTTATGCTTGGCTTTCCTTGAACTCCACTTCAGCACAAGAAAACTAGCCAGTTTCGAGAACTTTCCTAGGCTGTTCTGGTGAACCCATCGGGAGCTTCACCATCACAGCTTGTGCGTGCTTATAGGCTTTTTCATGTCATCTGTTTTGCGGTGTATTTACTGTGCAGTATCCGAACAACGCGTAAAAATTTCTTAGTTTTTTTTTACGTCAGGATCCTCTCACTTCCTTTGCTCTCATAACAACTTTGTACCGTGCTCGTTAGGCATTTTAGTGCGACGGGAGAATAGGGATATTGGGAAACTGGTGATTCGATTTTGGCGAGAATCCGCTCCAAGCGAAAATAGAACTATCTATCCTTTACTGCCCCAATATCTGAAATCCGGCCAGTTCTTGACCGACTTTTTCCTTCATGAGCGGAATTGGCTGAAAATTTGTCTCCCGGCGTAATTTGAATATGAGTGTCACCACGGCTCGGCACGAAACCTCGTGGCGCCGGCGCCAAAAAAACGCTAGGTCACCAAATTCGCTGAAAACTTGTCTCCCAGGTGTAGTTTGACCTCCTGAACACGAATATCACATCCGCTTGGCACGAAACCTCCTGGCGCTCGCGCCACAGACGCCGGCGCCAAAATACCCCAAATCACCGGCGCCTGTGGCGCGGGCGCCAGGAGCTTTCGAGCCACGCAAATGTGATATTCATATTCAGAAGGTCAAGCTACCTCAAGAAAAACATTTGAGCCAAATCTGTCTACGGAGAAAAAAGTCGGTCGAAAATTGGCCCGATTGAATGGGGCAGTAAAGGGTAGATAGTGCCCGAAATGAAATGCTGTTTTATAGAGGCGGTGCTTGCTGCAAACTGGTACCTTTGAGATGAATTCAGCCCAAGCAGCAGTCCTTGGATTAATTTACCATTTAGCATTAACATAAATATTTTTCTTTAAACACTTCGAATCTTCGAACTGTTTCGAAGCTTTATTGAGATTTTATTCATAAACCAACCTCATCACAATCATTTTATAGCATTTTATTTTGTAGAGCACTGTAAGCACTTCTTTCAGGAAATTAGCGACATGAAATTGGCGTTAAATGCAAGAGCACGTGTTTCTGCTGAGGAATTCTTGAAGCGTTTCAATTAGGTTTGGAACTTCCTTCAATGGTATTGAGTGCTTTGTCGCTCAATGCTTGGCAGTGCTCAAGTCGCTGCGGAAGATTCTAATGCTCAGTTGATATTCTCATCGTGTTTTGTTTCACATAGCATATCGTGTTTGCGGAAATTCTATGACCGATGTGGCTACTACTGCCTTAAATTGTCCGTGTTTTCATCGTTTAATTTTGTCTCATGCTTCTGATTGCTTCAATATAGGTTTCTGGTAATGCTTGTTGCATATTCTGCTGCCTTGGTGTTTTTTTTCACTTTTGAAAAAATGATGTGTTATGTCATATAGTCCCTTAATAATAGAAAATCTTGATAGGGCTTGAGCAGTTTTACAGCAATGGTTTTTGATTTTATAGATTTTATCTGCAGTCGGAAGTCTATGCTTTATTGAATACTATGCTACTTGTATACCTGTATGTTGCTCGATTCTTCTTTGATGATGATTTATTTATTTTTTTTTGTTTTTCTGTGTTAATTTTACTTGAACATTAATTTTTCGGAAGATCAATTAGTTCTCTATAAATTTATGCTATACTTTTCGGTGGCGTGCAATGAGTGGTTCGAAACCATGACATACTATCAATTCCTTGACGACTTTTCTTCAATTGTACGTAGTTAACCATTTTCTCCAGGATGAGGATATCGATATTACTCATCGTATTTGCTGGTATTGCTCTTGCATCAGAAGAATTAGCGACAACAGAACGAACCACGTTTGCTGTCGAGGGAAATGTGAGTTTTCTTCCTAAATTTTGCTTATTTTTCTCAGAGGCTGCTTACCCTTTTTTTTACTTGCCAAGAACTTTTTCACTCATCCGCTTGAAATGCGGCGCCAACCCGTTCTCCATCGATTGTGGGAGGTGGGAAGCGACCACAGTTGGTGAAAAACGCGCCTGATCGAGCCTCTTTCCCCCTCCCTTCCCCCCTCTTGACACTCTCTTTCACCAGCAGCGTAAAAGGTCTTGTGTCAAAGCCACAATGTGCGATTATCTGGGGATTGAATCTTTTGCCTATGCGAGGTGAACAGATACCCAACCGTAGCTTTCCCGTGATTCGAAAGCATACGACAATGAAAGATGCTTCGGATAGCTTCGTATTCTCTATGTCTTCTTTTATCGTTGGACACGCGATACGCACGGCACACTCGCGCCATGCGCATGTCCAGTTACACCTGACTGTAGCCACACTTCTCGTCTCTGCTTTCTCCCTGAACGTATGATTGCGTGTGATGCGCATTCACGTAGCAAATGGATGGAGAAATTAGGAGCGTCAACCTATCACAAGAGTCTACCTTTACTGAAGTGCACACTTCAATGGCGAGGGTGTTACACATATACGATTACTCACCTGCCCACTTTGAACATGAAAAGAATCGGCCTTTTAGGTAATTGTACTGTTTTGCTTGCTCGCAACATGAAAAGTTAAGAGTTGGTGCCTCTGCACCTGGTTTTTTTTTTCCAAGTTTATAGTATCTCTAAAGTTTGGTGTTTCGGCACGCGTTTTATATTTGACGCGCTTTATCGTGCTGGCTCCTGTCTAACGCCGCAACTCCATGTCTCCATGTTCCAAAACTTGCTACAAGAATGCTGAGTATGGGCAAGAGTCAGACCATAAGCAGGACCCGAATCCGCATCTCTCGCTGACAGGGAGGTGAGACAGGCCGACCTTACCCCCAGGCATGGCACAAAAGCCATTGAGCTGAAGAGGGTAAAAGCGGCCCGGTAGCGTAATAGATAGCGCACTCGCCTGGTCAGCGATCGGGAGGTACGGCTTCGACTCCTGCTGGGGTCTGACCTTTGACCATAACTCAGCATTCTTGTGATAGTTTGTGGTGTTTCTGCCTTTTCTCAGTCTACGATAGTTGTGCTTTCAATTCTTCCCATTATGTACATTAAAGACGGAATTCTTTCAAAGGAAATCACTATTTCAGGTCATATTCCCTTCATCAGCTACGATGGGCCGTAAATGGGCTGCCAACTCCAGGGTGCTTTTGAATCATGGAGAATATATAGGATTCGTCCGTGAGGATGGATCGTTTGTGGTTGATAATGTTTCCCAGCGGCAGTTATGTTGTGCAGGTGAGTAGTGCAGCTAGAGAGCAAAATTAGAACTTCCCTGGATTTCTTTGCGGTTTTCTGAAATGAAATTGAAAGTTTGAAGCGACGGGAGAATACATTTTCATGTCTTCTAGCGCCCCATGAGTCTTAATTCAGGTGGAGAACGGTTGATTTTGTATTCGAACCAATTCGAGTGGATATTACTGCGAAAGGCAAGATTCGAGCAAGGAAACTGACTTTACTCCAGGTACTTATTTTACTTACCGTAGACATACGATCAGGCGAATTCTGTCTCCTTCTCCAGCCGAATGTGGTCAATCAATTACCCTATCCGCTGAAGTTGAGCTCCCGTGAAGCTACACGATATTTCCGTAAACGAGAAGAATGGCGAATTACCGACATGCTGATGAACCCCATGGTGCTGATGCTGGTTGTACCTCTCGTCATCATGCTAATTATTCCAAAGTATGAGTTCGATTCGTTTTTAACCTACAGTTTTTCATAGTAAGAGTAAGAGCGTTGCTGCTTAGCCGCCTGTTCTGACCTATCTGTTGTTAGAGTAATCCTTGCATGACGTGCATAATCGGCTTTTGACGCTTTCTATAGGTCTTATGAGGCAGCGGTTGTGTAGTGGTGAGTGGCGGGCTTACCACGCGCACGGTACGGGGTTCAAGTCCTGCTTCGGCTCCCGCCCACATCAACTGAGCGTTCCATCTCCCGAGAACGGTAAACTGGTACCAGATTCATTTGAGAGGATAAGAACACAGATTTTCACATCTGCTGGCCTCCATAGCTCATTGTATGGGCCACATCATTAGTATCACAGTGAGTCGGCGAACTACAATTCCAAATGGATTGATCAGAGGCGGAGACTTTCTCCTTTTTATGGGTCCTATAATGGCGACGAGCGGTTGTGCTCAGCGGGTCAGTACCCCCTGTTTTTCGGGACTACAAACTAGAAAACCTCGCAGCGATCTTTGGTGATATCTTGAGACAACGGGTGATGCCAAAAATGGTCGAAAATTAGGTAGTTGCGTCACAAAAATCAATCACTTTGTTCTGAAAAAGCGCGGTGCCTGATTGTTTAGCACCAATGTTTCCGGGCATTTCCAGCAAGTCCAAGGTGGCGCCACCATTACTACTATAGGGTTGCAGTGATACTGATTACTGTTTATGACGAGATTTCCCACAGCCTGCGTTTCCTTTTGATCATGATCTCCATTTCCTCTGCCCGCGTAGCCCGAGTAGTCCTTGCAGCGCTCATATATATCTCAACTTGCACCCATTTCTTCCTGCGGTGTGGACGAAGTGGGGATAAGGGAGTTGGTCCAGTCCGAGCAACTGCACGTCTATACATAGCTGTACAACCAGCTTTATATAGATTTTTGTATTAGCTTCTAATAACTGATAGAGTAACTTTGTCTCATTTCTTTTCGATAGAGATAATCGCAAGAGCTAATCCTTGCGTATGTGGGTGTAAGCGAGCAACAACGACAATTATGCATGGCCTCAGTTCAATACGCGCGTTGTTTGAGTAAGCGTTTACGCCGGATTATGCCAAATCGGCCACAGGGACCTGCGAGCGCAATTGTGCAGTTTGCAGCTATTGATTGAATGTATGCTATTATATTCAAACCTCCATGAAAAACTACTTTTCATTGTTTAGGATGACAGCGAATGATCCTCAACTACAGAAGGAAATGGCTGAAATGCAACTTCCGAAGGTGAGTGGTATTTGAATCTGCTGCATTTTTGTTTTTTTATCGAAGCTTAGGTAGTGGTAGTGGGCAGGATCATCGGTATACATTCCTTGGACTACTGGGAACCTTTGGCGTGTTTCATGTAGATCAGTTTGGGTCTATATTAGCAGAGATTCGTTAAAACCAAACCCGATGCGTATTCTACAAAGCGTTTTTAGAACGTCCTATATAATCTCTTACCGTCTAGTCAGTTATAATGGGATTTTCATTGAGCCCAACTTTCTCATAAGTTGCTCTCCATCAACCATTTTGATACACTCTAATATGCTACAAATTATGACAGTTTTCCAAAACGACAAGCACCTAGTCGTACTCAGGAAACCCCTACTTTGGAGAAACATTGAAATGGATCCTTTTAATATTTTTACTAAAACGCTCTGTTGAAGGAGAACAAAGTTGTCGGTAAAATAATTATTTCACGCTTTTCGGATGTCTTTGACAGCGGTCCTCAACTGTAAGATGCGAGATGACTATTAGGTCATCCCATTCAAAAGTGCCGTCGGTTTTATTCGAATAAAACAAAGAGGAGAATAGATAAAAAAGTAATATTTTGGCTTCAAGTTAAGTAAATCCCTCCTTCACCAATGACCCGCTCCCAGTGCCTTTGGACCTCTGGTACCTTCGATTTTTCAACAAGTGCGAGTAAATTGCTGTTGATGCCAATTTCGGCGAATGACAAAACATTGTAGCGTTTGCCGTCGGAGAGTACTCTCGACTGAGAACAATCAGGA